GTGTGTGTGTGTGTGTGTGTGTGTGAGAGAGAGAGAGAGAGAGAGAGAGAGAGAGAGAGAGAATTCCTGATTTAATAGTCTTCCAGGATTGCTCTACAAGAGCAGCCCATTACGTGTTTGCAAAGTTTTGCATGTGGAAAGGTGCTTTCCTGGTTTTCACATGATCACTAGTAACTGGAAAAGAAGCTATGTTGCATTATTTTGAGATTGTCTAGCACATGGATATTAACAGTAGGAAGACATTTTAAAATATATTTTAAATGGTATAGGAAGCTATTTCGTTATTATAGTGCCTTATGTATTTGTATCAGCAGGTAGGGATCCCCAATAACATTGGCAAAGTTCTTCTTTCATATCATTAAACTTTTATCAGAACTTCAGATATTGTTTATTGTGTGCTAAGTGCTACACAGAACATGGAGGAAGATGCTTTCCCTGCTCTGAGGAATGTTTAGTAACTAAAAAACATACAGCTCAGAATATGTGAAATATATTAAACATGCATTTTACATATAAACATCCTACTGTTTCTATTACTAATTTATCCTAGATCATCTTTCAGCCACAAATCAAGTGCCTTATCTTATACAGCAAATAGAAGACAGTAAGCTATTAAAGCGTGATCTCACTGTGGCTTGCAAAATTCAAAATAGCCAGCTTTTAAGATTCAAGCCTAAATTATTATTTTACCTAGCCTCAACTTTTCCTTTGGAAAGAAATAGCATTATGCATTTCCCCCCATGTTTTAAATGACCTTATAAACAGGTAATTTAGGATTAGCTGCCTACAGTCATATCAAAGTGTGTCACCTTTTCCTGCAGTTCTCCCACCTTCCCCCCGCCCCGACTGCTCTGATCACCTATTAGACTTAACCAATTCTCCTGCATAAGGCAAGCTCACAGAAGCATGCAAATAGAGAATCAGGAATGTAGTCAAAATAAGACCTTGGATAATGTAGAGCTGCACAAGTTTCCCCAGAGCAGAATATTATCACCTCATCAGTTTGGGGGCTTTGAGTTGAAGGTGAAATCTCTATTGCTGTCAGCTCTTCGTCACTAGCAGAAAGAAGCATCCAAACTCTGTTAAACAGGAGGGAGGATTTATGTTTTGCCACAGTGTAGCAGAGCTAGTTGCCTAATAATCCAAGGAAATGACACTTGCTGTGTCAAGTTCCCTAAAACCTTCAAAAATAGAAAAACAAAGGTTTTAATTTTTATTTTAAAAAGATCAAGAGCATTTACATCATATTTACTTAATAATACTTGTCACTTCCTCCTGCTAAAAATTGAGCATTTCCCAGGATTAGTCTCTGGAGAGTAATTGTATCGCAGAAGAACACACCAGAGGCATGACTGCATGAAATAGTAACGCAAACTCAAGCAATATAAATTTTGCTCAATGAACATTATCTGTTTCTTTTGTCAGATGTGAAATTCCATCTGTGCAATGTTTGGAAGGATTCCTGCAGTAAAAATGTAGAGTAAATGGGGGTTCATTCAGGATAAGCAGAGCATTTCGCAAAGCCTCATGCCTCCTAAGTAAAGACATAATTAGACGAAAGGAATCCATAATCTTCCAAGGAATGCAGTATTTGTGATTTCCAGAGGCAGCTCATTAATCTAATGCTGAACTACTCCTTACTTGACCCAGTACTGAAATACGATCATTATAAAATTGTTTGAGTCTGAAAGGATTTAGCCCCAAAGTCTGACTGTACCGATGAACATTTCAGAGTATTGTAATGGAGGTGGGCATCTGATGCTAATGATAACAATAAATACTTTTGCATTTAAATGGCCTGATTCTGACCTCACACCAGTTTTGCACTGGGGTACACCATTGACTTCTGTGGAGCTACTCCTCATTTACACGAGTTTGTCAGAGGACAATCAGACTCATTGAGTATTATGCCTGAGGATCTGTTATGTAGCACATTACACTTGAGGAGCTGTTAATGAAAACATTCACATTTAATTAAGCATCACATCCTAGCAGGTAAGTGTACTGTTAGGTAAACTGAGGCACAAAGCTGGTACGTGACCTGACTCAGTCTAACGGCTAGACCAGGTGCTCAGTATATTGAGATCCTGGTAATCTGCAGAATGAAAGTGTTTGAGAACCCAGCAGTAGAATCATAGAATCATAGGCTGGGAAGGAACCTCAAGACGTCATCTAGTCCAGTCCCTGGCACTCATAGCAGGACTAAGTATTATCTAGACCATCCCTGATAAGTGTTTGTCTAACCTACTCTTAAAAATCTCCAGTGATGGAGAGTCCACATCCTCCCTGGGCAATTTATTCCAGTGCTTAACCACCCTGACAATTAGGAAATGTTTTCCTTATTTCCACCAATACCTCCATTGCTGTAATTTAAGCCCATTGTTTCTTGCCCTATCCTCAGAGGTTAAGGAGAACTTTTTTTCTCCCTCCACCTTGTAACAACCTTTTATGTACTTGAAAATTGTTATCATGTCCCCTCTCATCTTCTTTTCACCAGACTAAACAAACCCAATTTTTTCAATCTTCCCTCGTAGGTGATGTTTTCTACACCTTTAGTCATCTTTGTTGCTCTTCTCTGGACTGTCTCCAATTTGTCCACATCTTTCCTGAAATGTGGTGCCCAGAAATGAACACAATACTCCAGTTGAGGCCTAATCAGCACGGAGTAGAGCAGAAGAATTACTCCTCATGTCTTGCTTACAATACTCCTGCTAATACATCCCAGAATGATGTTTGCTTTTTTTGCAACTATGTTGACTCATATTTAGCTTGTGATCCACTCTGACCTCCAGATCCCTTTCTGAAGTACTCCGGCCAACTTTCACACACTCTTTATTCATATGAGTAGTCCTATATGAGTACCCATAGGATTACCATTATGCAGTCTCTCTCAACCTTTCCAGACTATTGTATCCCTCTCAGGAATCTGATTTGTCTTGCATACCCCAACTTTCACCTCAGTTAAAAACGACTTGCTTACAAAATCAGACAGAAAAATACAGAAGTGTCTCAGCACACTATTACTGAAAAATTGCTTAATTTCACATTTTTACTATATAATTATAAAATAAATTAATTGGAATATAAATATTGTACTTGCATTTCAGTGTATAGTATATAGAGATGTATAAACAAGTCATTGTCTTTATGAATTTTTAGTTTGTACTGATGTCGCTAGTGCTTTTTATGTAGCCTGTTGTAAACCTAGGCAAATCTCTAGAAGAGCTGATGTATCCCCTGGAAGACCTCTGTGTACCCCCAGTGATACACATACCCCTGGTTGAGAACCACTGCAGTTATGCATGGGAATAATTGTCTGCAGAATCAGGGCCATACTTCTTGATGGTAGACCCCTAAAGACAACAGCCTATGAAAAATAGTGCAGATCATGATTCATGTAATTTGTTTCAACTTTCCCTGTGACTCATCAAATTTCAGTGAATTCAAGGGAGCTGATAAAATAGTTTCTTGATGTCTAGTTATTAATGCAGCAAATTAAGCAATGCACATTCTAAAACACCCTGTCATGTTAAACTATTTGTACAGTACAGTTTAGTGAATATTTTTTTAGAGTAAAGAATGGTTTAAAGCAGACTATTTAGAAATTTGGAAGAGGGGATCATATCAATAGTTAATGCTCCCCTCTGCATTCCTTTTAAAAGGTGGTATCTCTGTTTATGGTTGGGTATCTTCAGCATATTTCTTAGAGCCCCAAGCATTCCTCCAAACACTTCGAAGGCATGAGTTTAACGCCACCATCCTTCTGTCCAGAAGGACTGCACAGGATAAATAAATATATGGAGATATACCTGTCTCATAGAGCTGGAAGGGATGACCTTGAAAGGTCATTGAGTCCAGCTCTACACCTTCACTAGCAGGACCAAATACTGATTTTGCCCTAGATCTCTAAGTGGCCCCCTCAAGGATTGAACTCACAACCTTGGGTTTAGCAGACCAATGCTCAAACCACTGAGCTATCCCTCCACCCACCATGAATTCTTATCACTTCCTGTACCAGTCACTACATCTCTAAAAAGCACACAGCTTCTGCAGTACTCCTTCTTCCCAAGGCATTCCTGACCAGGAATCTAGCCTGGAGCTCTCATGTGCCAGTGCTTAATTTGTTCCAGGGCTGAGCCCCGCAGGGCACTTCTCGGCTTGGCAGTTCAGAGCCCTGGCACTGTTGGACTTGCTGTGTCAGTTATGAAAGTAAAAAAATTGCTTGAACCCCAGCACCTAATTGCTTGAGCCCCGACCAGGGCCAGGGCCAGCTCCAGCTTTTTTGCCACCCCAAGCGGCAAAAAAAAAAAGAAGAAAAACCCGATTGAGCTCCCGCCGAAGAGGAAGAGACGGAGTGAAGGACCCGCCGCCAAAGACTAAAGTGGGGCGCTTGAGCAGCTGCTGAACTGCCGCCGAAGACCCAGACGTGCCGCCCCAATTCCGGTCGGCATGCCGCCCCTTTCTATTGGCCGCCCCAGGCACTTGCTTCCTTAGCTGGTGCCTGGAGCCGGCCCTGGCCCCAGCATCTCTTTCATAACAAATTAAACACTGATCAGTGCACATCGCCAAGTGCTCACCAGATAATTTCTCTTTACTGAGGGTTCCACCTGAAGATGTTTCTTCCAAACCTCTCAGTTTGTGGATATTAAAAAGTAGCAGAGGGTAAAAAGTATGTTTG